CTTCTTTAAATCGAAAGGAGACTGCGACCATACCAGAGGTCACAACATCTTCGTTGAATTTTACATAGTCTTGCTTTCCCAAAAGGTGTTTTTATCCAGGGTGGACTGCAATTTCGGCCTCGCATAGGTCTTATCAACCCTCCAAGCGGGATTTGAACCATGAAATTGCAGCGTGTAAGCTCGACATGTTAGCCCCCACGCCACACTTCCACGAGTGTTCTTGGGTCACAAGGCAGGTGTGAATTTGAAGGAATGTCAGTCATTTTCCATATCCCATTCTGTTATAGGATTGTAAATGAAGCAAACTTAGATTTACTATAACAATAGACGACATTATGTTTTTCTTAAATGAGTAGGTTTTCGATCCTATCAGTAAATCAGATCTATGAGTTGTGTTCACTCTACTCATTTACAAATAAAGTAATGTCATAGATTAATATAACAAATGTATGTTTGCTTCATCGACAATCCCATAACAGAATGTGATATGGAAAATGCCTAACATTCCTTCAAATTGACATCTGCCCTTTAATTAAAGGACACTCGTGGCAACGTGGCGTAGTGGTTAACATGTAGAGATTAAACGCTGTACTATCATGTACCACTTGGAGTGTTGATAAGACCTATGCGAGGTCGAAACTGCAATCGGCCCTGGTTGAGAACAGATTTGGGAAAGCAAGGCTATGTGAACTTTAATGAAAAACATCAGCTCCACTCATATCGTTGTGTTAAAAATCAACTCCCAGCCCATCATCACCTTAAACCAAAATAGAATGAACACAACTGAGATATCTGATTTACTGGTAGTCTCGAAAATCTACTCATTTACGAAAAAATGTAAGAATGATACTCTGCCCTGATGATGTCCTGCATGTGGGAGACGAAAGCTTAGCTTTTTTTACCAAAATTAAAGAAGACTGACTCGGAGAATGCCCCAACAAGGATTTACCATTAAAGCTAACCAAATGCTGGCCAAATGGAATCCTCGTCGTCTTCTGATAGGATCACCCTAAGATTTTCTTCACCCCACACTTTCACTGGGAATGAAAGTGGACAATTCTAAAACTAAACGTTTTTTGCATACCTTATTAAGTAGAAAAAACATTTCAGTTTAACAATTCCGTCGCCCTGGGTCGCTTATGGCGCATTAGGGACTGAAGAAGAATAGGCCCCTCCACTACTAAGCCACACATGCCACTTGTAGAATTGACATTCAAAATGAGCCTGGCCTATTGTAAATAACGTCATCATGACACTTACGACCAGGTATCGAATCCCGTTTTGGTGTTGATGCGACCCTGGCAAGATCGAAACCTCGGTCCACCCTGGATGAAATGACCTTTGGGCAAGCATGGCTTAATGTAATTCAATGACATCGGAAAATCACCTATCTCATTGTGGGAAAATCCAATTGCCGGTCTGTAACTCACCTTAGGTCACCTAGAATGACTGAGTTCCTTTTAAAAAATTACCGATAGCCTCTAAAATTACCAATATATCGAATACTTTTTAATTCATCCTTAGTCTATAAGTGTAAAAAATAATCCACCGATAACTACACTCTACTAACAATTTCAAGTAGTGTAATATGTAACTTTAAATATGAATCCTGCTGAATTTTTTTCGCCTTGCCATCTTAAATTGTAAAGTGTAAACAGCGATGTTCATGCTCATATTAACATCAAATTATAGCAATAAATAATAAGTTTTTAGTCTGAATGGCTTTCAGGGGGCTATTCTAACAAAATGTAAGATAATGAACTTGAATGAAATTGACAAAGGGAATGGCTAAATTGGAATCACTTAGAGAAAATCGAGCAAAAATAGAATAGGCTAGTAAAGTAAATTAAACAAACATGAGAGCTGCATTCACTCTAGTTCGTGACAAAGGACAGAATAAAACAGTCGGTCACTCGATATACGTAACTTGTCTTCCGCTAATACTCTTAATTTTTTTACATACAACCGCTAAATTTGTAGTTACGTCTTAAATACATTAGCCCGGCAGTAAATACCACTTAAAGCAAAGTCACTTTGCTCATACAGAGCTTGTTGGTCAAGTTAAACATGATAAAGTGAATTGTAGCTATGACGAGGAAGTCTCCTTTATAGTGCTGGCTTGGCCTCGTTTTCACAACTTGGTCTTAGTATCAAGTTGACTTTGGGGAATGTACCTAGTCATGCGTCCTTTGCCACAGTCTTTGTGATTTCCAGCATCGGACCAGTGACTTTGTACATTCCCAAACATAACGCCGGCATCGCTATTGAAAGGCGCCATCTTTAGCATAGAGTTACAACTTATCAAAGTGGCAAGTAAAGGCAATCCCTTTACCAATTTTCTGTTCAACCGTTGTGGCATCACTCCTCGCCCTATTTTGTTGTTCTACCTTCCAGTTCTGCATCCATTTCTCTAAGCTTCACT